GAGCGCTTACTCGTACATAACAAGTGTATATCCTAATAATTAAGCTAGCTAGTATAGATGTAGGATAGGAATTCTTTTAACATAGATCATAAGCGAAGAGGAAAATAAGAGGAGGGAGAGTTGAACATGAGTTTAAGCAAAAATGAGGTAGAGAAGTATGAAATAAACTAGGGTATAATGTATGATCTAACGTGTTACTCGATCTATTCATACATTATATGCCTATTCAGGCTAACTCTTTTTTCTATTCTCCAAATTGATCAATGAGTACCCGCGAATCTAAACTATTCTAATATATGAATATCCAACCAATCAGATCTGCTTCCTGGCTCCTAGTCTTTAACTCTCAGTTATCCCTTCCATATACAATCATCTTAGTCCTGATTTGTTTATATATAGCGATACAGGCTGCAAGGCTGAATTGGGTGTGAATTTTTATATGACGAAGGGGTTTCGATTCATAAAACGCCTAAAACCATTGCATTATACACATATTTTGACTGATCACATTCTGCCTTTCTGTTATCTAGCTTTTAACTTCCAGTAACCCCTTCCACAAGCAACCATCCTAGGCTTGATTTGTTTACATACGATAAGCTGGCTAAGAGGTTGATTGCCGCGTCTGATATAATCTAAATTTGATTGGCTGTGTAGCTGCTTTCCGACAAGTTTCTCTCCGTCCGGACATCTCCCCAGCTTGTGGTTGTGAAGTGATGATTTCGATAAAAAGAATTATGTCCTTCGGAATCAGTAACTACAATACTTTTGGATATGTATTCTAGCTTTCCTTTATAACAAAGCTTTCAGTAAATTAAAAACAAAGGAAGACTAATCTCAATCCAAACGATAGAATTGAAGAAGATAATCCCTCGTTGGGCTCCAGAAAAATGGATTCTATTATAATAGATTTGACTACCATTATGCCAACCATACCCCCAAGGGCTCTAGAACAGATCTAACCATACATTATTTGCCTGTTCAGACTAGGCCCTTCTTCTCATACCTGTCTTATATCTTAATCTAACAAGATGTCCGTATATACAACGGATGTTATCGTTCACCTCCTCGATAAAAGTGTCTTCAAAAAACTTTCCATTTAGCGAGTTTAGCACCGGTTATTTCTTCCTCCTGAAGATTACTAGACCCCCTAGTCCCCAACCAGCATCAGTCCAACGACTTTAATACAACGATCATCATTTCATACACAAATAATCAATTCTACAAATATCTAACTATCCCATGCAAACACCTCTCATTCACAACCCACCATTTCCAACAATCGCAAGAAAAATGGCAGATATCACATACGCATTTGGAGCTCTTGAAAAGCTACCTTCTAATATTACTAGCTACTCCCCCATCATTACCCGAACCATTGTCAAACTCGTTGTTCCTACTAGTACCGCTATAACCCCCACTATTACCGCCATCATCCCCACCATCACCGCCATCATTACCACCACGATAGTAAAAACCTGTTCCTATAAATCGATCTCTTGTAAATAGGAACCAACAATCCAAACCGAGGAATCGAATTAAGCTTTTCTTGCTCGACCTCTCGACAGTCTTGCCATTCTGGTTATTTTTTTGCTTGTGGGATTAGGTGGTATGATTTTGCTATGGATGATCGTGGCGACTATTAATGAATGTAGACATCATTGGAAGTCTAAAGGGAATACAGTACTAGTCAACTGCTGTCAGCCGAAACCCAATTTCACACTAAAAATCGGCATTTTGCTATATTTTTAAATATAAACATCTCTATAAATAATGATTTGAATTTAATGAAATTTTGTTTTTATAAAGTTTATATAATGATAATTGATATTTTTAATATTTCAAAAATCTAAGAAATTTCTAATATCAAAATTTATAAGATTGAATTAAAATATTAAAAAAGTTGCTTGATTTTCGCTTATTTTACTAGTAAATCTAATCATTTTGAAAATACTCTAACTTTCAATCTATATAATAAAATCAATAAAAATCTAAAAAATAATTAATCTAATTTTTATCAAATTATCCTTAAAAATAAATTAATAAATAATAATAAAAAAGTTATATTATATTAATAATAATAAGAAAATTTATAATCATAAATGATGAATTTTGGTGTGAAAACGTGTTTCGGCTGATAGCAGTTGGCACTTGCTGTAGAAGGAGTAACACACAAAGTGATTGAATGAAAAAAATTAATAGATTTGTGGAATTGGATTTAGGGTTGGGTTTGAAGTGAAGGATCTTTGATTCGAGGGGAAGGGTAACCGATAGGGTTTCTTGATATATAGAGGTATGGAATACATAATTTTTAATCTCAAGTGACGGATTTGAGGGGTTCGTTACTCTATCATTATGACTCTCAAGTCTTGTGATATCAAACTGTGTCGGTCTGAACGGGATGCTGAGTTTCGAGAAAAAGATAGGGAGAACCAATTGGTATTGTTAGTAGCTATTGGAAAAAATACAACACTCCATCATACAGTCATTATTCAAAATGAAATATAAAGAATGAAATAAATAAACCTCAACGAAAAACCACAGATTGAACAGTGAGATAATGACGTTCAAATGATAGTATTTATATCTGACGTATATATTAGGTTAGTTGAATGATCCCCTGTAGTAACATTCCATACCCAATCCAACGTCATCGCTACACACCGTTACCAAAAACGGTCTACCTTCCCTTTCACACACCATCCCCTCATTTCCGATCAGATACTCACCTCCCCAATTAATCCAAACCTATTCTAATTCATTCCAAGCAACCAGTAGGTATACTTGTACACATTTACCGAGCCCCACGATCTCCGACCCCTATATCCGAAACTCCCACCCGGATCCGAACAACGACATGCAACAAAACTTCAATTCCCATCACCAACTATCCATTCCAACATATCTCCTGCCTTTTTCAGAAACTCTCCACTTCATTTAAATAGTAAATCCTGTTCGTGGAATTTGAATTCTAGAATCTTACTCATCCGAGGAGAAATGAGCTTACTCGGGAATTTCTTACGTTATCGGGTTCTCAGCCATCTCGATTCTAGATCAGAACATGGACCTGAGTTTTTCTCCACGGTAAAATCTGGTATGCACAGATATGATATCATGCAGCATTCATTAATTCTTTACATATAGAAAAGTAAACAAATAGGTGAAAGAAGGCTCGAGGAAAAACTCGGAAGTCCGAGACTCCCAAACCTTCGGAGCCGGTGTAGATGTGCAACACAAGATTTTTGGAAAAGGCATGGGAGATAGAGATTGGTTGGGATAGAGATGTAGTTATATTTTCATGGAAATATCTGCGGAGATGCTGGGTTAGTCGTTGGGAATGAGGATGAGTGTGGGTACTGGGATTCTGATTTGAGTCGCGGCCGAAGTTTTTCGGCCGAAAAATTGAAAAATTCGGAGATGGATTGAGATCGAGGGGGAGTTTCAGGGAGGGTGGTGATGGATGGATAGTTGTGAGTATTGGTTATAATGATGCGGTGGAAGATGTGAATTTACTTGTAAGTGTAGATATGAATGGATTTCTTCTTTTGTGGAGAGAAATTTTTTCGCTTCGTTCAATTTGGATTTTACCGGAGAAAGTCCATGTATGTACGGCGCCATATGGTACTTCCTTCTATTCTACCTACTCTCTATCAAGCATTGTTGGATACCTCTCCAATCAACGCGTAGTAAGAATTATGAATATCTGCTGATAAGAATCATCTCAACTTTCCAGATACAAGATGAAACTTTGCATTGATGGCCTTCTAAGATATTTGAATTGATTTCAATAAGACAAGAGTCTTCGATTCAAATGCAAAAGAGAATTTTGATTGTAAATTCAAGATACCAAAATGTTTCCTTCCGGACTCTGTAGCTGAGACCAACTTATAAACATCACCAGATATGTATTGGAAAGCTAGGATCTATCATTGGGATCGAAACGGTCAGGAGCCAATCTCTGAAAAGATGCATCAATCCAACCTGTGTGATTTTCTCCTGCTCCTCCCTCGATAGTTCCAGCTGCACAGCTGCAGCATAGTCCCCCAGTCGACCAACCTTCGTCATCGATGTCGTCACCACAACATTCTGAGCAATCTGCCAGCTAATCAGTACAGCATTCTCAGGAACCTGGTGTCGGGCTGCAATCTCTGCAAGTATGTTGTCGAGAGGCACGGGCCGTGCTTTGGTGATTGGTGTTAACCTGTTGAAACTAGCCACCTCGATTCCATGCTCCCGCATCTTAGAGAGACAGTGTAGGCAATAGTATACTATAGTAAAACGGTGGCGCGTATGAAGCTTTTGATATAATAGCTAGTGTATATTAGATAGTTAAAAACTCACTGCTGTAAATATCACTTAAAACGGATATCTACGCAGATATACAGGAAAACTGAAATATAATACTAAAAATCAAAACTAGTTCCAATAAAGCCTAAATAATAAGAATCGAATTTGTGAAAAGAATATTGTAATATCGATATTTATATTCAAATATATCAAAAAGATCAAAATATTCGATAATACTTATGATTTATTATCAATTAATAATATTCTAGTAAATTCAATTGAATATTTAATTTTATATTATTGAAATCTAAGGATAACTTCAAATTCAAATATTTCATTTTATTCTATATCAATCAAAAATCCGTATTCCCATATCCTATCAGTAATATTCAATATTAGAATAATATTGAATATCTTCAGTAATATCGAATTCCATACCACATAAATACATATTTCGGGAAAAAATCGATATGCACCACTATCTAACCCGTATACGGAATACGAGAAATACTATTGCCTACACTGTGGAGAGATAATCGTGTGCGCGCTGCAGATAAGTATAGAATTCCAATTGATTAAGGGCAGGGATGATGGTGGTCACTTTCAGTATTTCCATATGCGGACGCTGGTGATCCGATACTCTAATGGATTTGGCCTTTCCAGTGGATTTTACCTGCTCTATCGACAGCCAGATCTGTTGAAGATCAGAAGACTTTTTAGCGAGATAGGTTGAATGGAGCAAGTATCTACAGAGTTAGTGATTATATACACAATGGAACGTTTGACTCACAAGTCCATGTATTTCGTAGAAACCCCCGAAGACTTTCATGGTTACGAAAATCTCCTCACGCGGTATGCCGCATTCTTTGACAGCAACACCGACCTCTTCCTCTGTTCCGTAAGCATCAGAGGCGTCGATATTACGAAAGCCCCGCTCAATAGCTGCCTTCAGAACGTCGAAAAGATCTCGGTTTAGAGGTTCTTCGGGGTTCTCTTTGTACCACGCAGTACCTGTGCCAAATCCTATCTTAATTTGTTAGTATTCTACTCTATGCAGAGAATGGTATAGAATCGCTCACCAGCGGAATAGAGTTACCATCCTTGAGGGGAGTGAGGGGAATTTCATTTTTGAAGAACTCGGTGCTTTTAATTCCCAACTTTCTAGAAACCTCAAATCAGGAGAGAATTCTCGAAATGATAGTAGAGCTGGTATCAGAATCGAGAGGGTCGTGAAGGCCGGGAGATTTGTGAGGAAAAAGTGCTGATATATAACCAGATCCAAATCTACCATAATTCACCATTCCATACAATTTGGGTAAATACCTAGGTATCCATGGATCATCACATCCCCTCCATTCACTTTTACTCGCTCTTCAATTTGTACCGCTCTTTCCGTGCTAGTGCTTCCAACAGCTCGAACTACCTAAGATATACATAATATTTGAATTGTTATTTTGGTATACATAGAGAGAGAAAACCAGGTTTTATGTGCAGGGTTGTTCAATGGATATATGATCGATTAGATTTCTCTGTTGTTCCACATCAGCTCAGCCAATCACTCGTTTATCCCAATACTATCCTAAGTCTTGAAAATAGAAGTTTACACTGGCTCTGGTTTGTAAAGTCGCACAAGCGGTGTATTAATGACAAGCAACAGAGCTCGAGGACATGAGGGCAGGAGGCATATGTATGCAGAGATCGTGGGTGGGGTGATGGAGTCAATTGGGTATACCGGTTTGCCCTTTGAGACGTTGATAACCGACACAGCTTACAATTCGTTGGACTGTCATCAAACTTGGTTACAAGCGCAATAAAAAGAGTGTTTGGCCCATTTCATAGTTCCCCGCCCCCAAATCAATCGGAACTCCATATCTTGAGACTATGAATAGATCATCCAGCATCGCCAGGAAATTAACAACCAAATTTGCTTCATTCCAACAAAAGCTAACAAAAGTGATGTTCTTTTTCTATTACCCATCCATATCAATTGCACCCCAATTAAGCATAAGGGCCATTCGCCGAGAAGCTACCTTTCCCGATGCGAAGCCTTCATTTTCTGCCATAGTGTTCTTCCTGTATGATCTTTTGTTTCAAGCAAAAGCTGGACAATATGTGGTGTCTGACCTTTTTCATCTTTGCTTTCAAGCCCAAACCTCTTCTTGATAAATGCCTTGATTAATGGGATTAATTGGACGTCCCTGAGCTCAGCCCCCGACCGTAGACTTGTTCCGCGATTTGTAGCGTGTGTGGCTCTATTGTAATCATCCAAGGACTCAACCATACTATCGTTTCCATAGTTGAGTAATAATTTAGCGATATCGAAATTTCCGATTTCAATTGCAAATGATAATGGAAGTTGACTTTTTTGGATTGAAAGTGAGGATATGGACTGGCCAGATCTATCGCTTTCTTGTGATAACATACCGGAGCTACTCACGCTTTGTGCTTTATATTTAGCACCTCTCTGAAGAAGCAAGTCAACAATATTGATTTTGTCATTTTCAATAGCTAGTAACAATGGTGTTAAGCCGTTCGAGCATATTGCCTCAATGTCTGCGCCTGCATTAAGAACTAACGCGACAATTTTAGCGTCTCCTGTTTGAATAGCTAACGACAATGGTGTTTGCTTATCTGAATCTTTCTTCTCGAAACTACACAGATATGCGTCAAGTAGTATCTTTAAAATGGTGAGCCGGTCTCTTTGAATGGCCCAATGCACCGGAATTCGATCATGAAAGCCTCTCGAGCTGATTTGACACACATCTGTTTCAATAAAGAGCTTGAGGAATCCTTTTTCTGCTCCCGCAAACGCATCCATTAAAATAGCACCTTCTAAACCTTCCAAATTATCTAAAAATTTCGTCAAATTCCAGTTAAGAAATTGATAGAGTGTCGCATCATCTACCAGTTGAGGATACCTTTCAGATAACATGAATGAGACGGCTTCTCGAATGACCTGTTGGGATGACTTGTCGCACTTTGGGTCTAAGATGTTACTCCTATGTGCGTCTGAAGACATACCCAGTAATGCATATATCTTATCTCGATCATCAGTCGCCTCGCTTTCGCGAAACTTTACTAGTAACGTGTGAAGCTTCTGACCTTGCGCCCACCAAGACTCTTTCCGCGAGATTTCAGACATTATATCCAGAACTGATTGACAATGTACGGCAGGTTTTAAAGCAATCAGAGCCGGAAACTGGGAGAAGATCGTAGCGGTGATAGATCTGTTACCACAATGTACTGTTGTTGATTGCCGAGCATTGGCAACTTCTTGCAAGATCCAGATTCTTCGAAACCATGGTCGGTCCAATATCAACCTCATTTGCTCGCGCGAATTCGTCAAGTGTTCATTGTTTTCATCGACCCAGCCATTGGCCTTATATTTCCACTCTGTTGAATGCCAACTTAAACTTGCCTTTCGCAGCCTGGTCATGGCATCCATCACCAGGTTAGTTTCTTCAGTCCCTTGACCTAACCAAACCACGACCTTTTCAGCCTTCTTGTATATATCGCCCATCTGTCTGATTTGATGGATTTTCTCGTGGACATTTTCTTGATTGATACACAAAGCATCAATCCAAAATACTTGATCTCCTTCGTCAGATCTTAAATGCTGAAGTGCCATGTGTAAGTTGATAGTCACTTTGATTCTGGCGCGGTCAATTATAACCTCTTCCACTTTGTCAATGTTACCCCAGGTATAAGACAATGCGAAATATGGGATGATAATATCGGGATCGTCAAACCAAGCACTGATAAAATGGCCTTGAATTTTATCCGCCCAGTCCCCTTTGTGAAGTCGGAGAAGTCGAATAGAAGGTCGACCAAGATTGATCGGTTGGTACCGATATGGATCCATTTGGGAACTGTTTCCGATGTTCTTGGAAAGTTCAAGATGTAGATATTTGTCTCCCCTGATATAGTAAATCTTGATGGTTTTGATGGTTCAAGTCCTGATCGCTTTGGATTTTTGGGAATGTGGCTGGTGGTTGATATTTTCAATGTAAGAATAAGATGGATTGTTCACCAAATCTTTTCAGACATGACTGAGAACATAGTGACCATGAGCAGCCTGTCAGGCCGGTATGGCTTTGAGGCAGTGTCAATAAACATCCATTTATCCCTCCGCCACGCTGAGGTACCTATGAACAGGCTGACAACAAGAGGGGTGGGGGTCTCGGAGGTGTCCAGTGCCATGGTTGGCGGCAAAATTAAGGCGGTGGACCAAAGCAGTAAGAATCAAGAACATTTGGCAGACACCACTGCAAATAAGATTCGCCAGTCTTCGTCGAACACAATATACGTGGTATATGCTGCGCCCAAATTCTTCAGCTGCACCTTTTTTCGGCCTAGACATACAAGGACCAGGTGAGGAATTGTCTCTACGTAGGAGAAAAAACAGGCCGGAATTGACCACTGCGTAATGGTACGTGCACCCTCACCTCATGAACAACTATTCCTTCGACAGCCAGGAAACATGCTGGACAGTGAAATGAATATCTAGAGTGCCCATGGTGTCTGGTAGATTTAAATATCTTATGTAGAGAGTTGAAGAAATTGTGATGTCGTGAATTATCTTCGAAGTTTGGATTGTGGGGGAATAATTCGAGAGTTGAGGTGAAGTCAATAGTAACAAGTGCGCGAGCGTCGAAGCTCGACGCACAGACCCTGATGAACGGAGATGCCAAAATACACGGGTATCTAGGTAGGTACCTGTAGTCTTTTCAATATTCGATATCAAATCGAAGAATTAATATTTTGAGTTTAAATACATGCCAAGGTATTCAATAGCTCCGGACCTACCTATTCACATAGATTTGTATCTTGTTAGAAAAGTATGGTTCATGGGATGCTAGAGCTGGGGAGTCAGCCTAGTCAATCTTTAACCTTTGAATGTTCTCATTTTATGGCCTACAATCCCCATTATACTCTGTTGAGAGACATTTTAAAATGTATCTGTCATGCATTTCGTTTGATGTCGAATTCAGGTTTTTATATTGGGATGTTAATGTCTTCAATGTATGAGTTTGCTCGAGTGGTTAGGATTATACCTCTTTTTCTGTACATGTGAAGACATCAAGTCACCCACAGATACAAATGCAAGAAGAGCCAAAGATTACGCGCAGTCCATCATTTGAAAATCCTAAAGCTGGGCGATGATAAGTATTCAAGTAGAGCAATACTACCAATGCAAATGGGTTGATCTTCATGTTTGGTATTGAACCATTGTATGCATGCTACTTGAGAGTCAGATTAGCTTTTGTCTCGTTATGACATTATTATTTCCTAAGAAGTTTTAGGTTAGTGATCTTTAATATCCATCGATCTAGAAGCCGTTTACGTGTGTGCTTTATTTGGTGCCGCGGAAAGAACAGTGGTTTGAGTGAGAGCGTGTAGCACTAGAAGAACACTTCAACGGAGATGAAATGAACATCTCGCCCCCCTCATAATATGCAACCTCTGAGATCGTGCTTCAATCAGCGCGAGTATAATCCCACTCAAATTTGTTATCTAATCGATTAGTATTAACCTCAGATTCGAATCATCAGCTTACGCATCTAAGAGTGCTAGAAGCAATTTCGTAGTATTCATAGATATCATCATGGCGCGATTGGGCTTTTGGAAATCGATAGACCCAGGACAATGAAGCCACCTCCCTCCGACTAAACACAAAACCCTGCGGCCTTCAGTCCCTTTCGATTCAAGACAAAACCAACAAGCATATTGCGATATAAAGAACCATTCTCACTCATTCTGTCAATATCTCCAAGCCTCGGTCGATTATGCGAAGATCAGTGATAGTCGGGACGTGAATGAATTGGCTATGTAATAATTCAACATGGTTGCATGTAAATCGGACACTCGTCAAGCTCAGGCGAACAACACATTCTTAGATCCTCATATGCTTTGGAATTGCGGTAGGCTTATTATTCTATAACATAATCATTTTCCATGAGTATGCTATCCAATGGACTTTGGAGGATAAACAATAATAATCTTTGCGTATCCAAACGAATTTTTTGCGTAGGCCATGGAGGCTTGAGACGATTGAAGAAGGACTGCTATACTCATCTGTCTCCCGAAAATTAAGAGTATATGGGATGGACAGTTACAGGACAAGAGTAGCTCACAATCTAATCCTACAAACTCAAAAAAATATGCAACCAAACCAAAACAACCGCTCAAGGAAGAACACACCCAAAGCAAGCACGTAGAAAACATACAACAGATAGCAACAGTCCAGTTCAGTCCAGTCCAGTACAAACAATAAACCACACAAAAACATCCAATCTCACAAACCCCAAAAATCCAACCAAACCCAACCCCATATCACCACCCAAAGAACAATACACGCAAAGCGCAGACAACAGCACCACCAATCCAGCACCTAGTATATACACCTCTCTCAAAAAACCCCTCAAACCCTAACATCGCGGTACTACCGCACACTACCCTTAAACACTCGAAAAAGACTCCCATAAAGAATAGAATATACACTATACACTCTACTCTACCACCCAACCATCCACCACTAGTAATCAATCACTAGACATCAAAACCCACTTCGTCAACTAGCTAATCTTCAATAAACTTATAAACTTCAAACCCTTCAATCTTAACCTTATAAGAAATAATAAACTTTCCATCGTCCCTTCCTTTCACTTTTTCATCCTCGATATATATATATACCCCATATCGATGACTCATTCCAAATCAAGACCTGGTGGACTAAGCAGCCATCCCATCCTATCACTCCAAACGAAGAACCCCGCATTCAGCCCTACCTAAGGTTAACTATCTAACAATAGGTATTGAATAAACCCTGGAAAATGTAAAACTGTAATGGGAGGTAGATAGAAAGTATAAGTATAAAGTAAAGTTAAATAATAGTCTAGATCCTTCAAATCTCTACCGTATCTGTAATCACACATACATCCATACACACATACCTATATACCCACCCTCCCCAGTACCTTACCAAACATCCACGTGAAAATCACGTGTCTCATCCTCATCAAGCAATTTCATCCATCCCATCCCATCCCATCCCATCCATCTTTGCAAAGTAGAAACGAAAACAAAACAAACAAAATCACAAGCAGTGCAGTGTAAAATACGAAATGAAAAGGAAAAAGGAAAAAGGAAAAAGGAAAAAGGAAAAAGGAAAAAGGAAAAAAGGAAAAAGGAAAAAGGAAAAAGGAAAAAAGGAAAAATGGTTGAGCCTCACGATCGCTCATTTTCTTTCTGAGGAATTATCTATGAATTGTATGTATATACACTATACATACATGCGCAGATACCTACCAGATACCTACAGATAAACAATCCATCCAATCTAATCCAATCCATAAACAACGAGCACACATAACCTTACCAATCGATCCACCACTTCACAAGCAAAAGTACAAGTAGAATGTAAAAAGCAGAATACAGATGTAGATATAAATATACCTACCTAGTATCCAGGCGACCGCTTCAATTCACCAATCAACAATGGTGATTTCGCTGGGTGAATTGATGAATGGATGAGACTTCATTTCATTTCTTACATACCACAAGATGGTAAACTACAAGAGGACTAACCTGGTTTTCATAGCGCCGGAGTTGCATACTTTCTGGCCGCAGGAGTACCCTACCTCGCCTACTCTACTCTACGATACTCCATACAATATACTTTTTTGCTTAGAAATCGAGACTCGAGAGGGTTGACGTTTCATAGTTTGATTGTTTGATTGTTTGAGTGAGTGGGTGGTGGTAGGTAAGTCTTACTACGTACTACTAGATGCAGACTCCAGAGATATGTACCTAGTATGCAGAAGTGATTGTGAGTCATACGGTATGGTACACCCACCGTTCTTGAACAGGGGGAAAGAGGGAAAGGAGGGAAAGGGTGGAAGGTGCGGGGATAAATGGATGGATGGATGGATGATGGATGGATGGATGTATGAATATGAAGATTAGATAGGTAGTAGGTAGGTAGGTAATCAACAACTAGATATCTATTCTTTACTATCTATCTATCTATTTATCTACCTATTAGATCGTACTCTGTATTTTCCAAACATAGATTTAGAATACAGAGAATAGAATACTAAATACTAAATACTAAATACTAATACTAATACTAAATACTAAATACTAAATACTAAATACTAAATACTAAATACTAAATACTAAATACTAAATACTAATACTAAATACTAAATACTAAATACTAAATACTAAATACTAAATACTAAATACTAATACTAAATACTAAATACTAAATACTAAATACTAAATACTAAATACTAAATACTAAATACTAAATACTAAATACTAAATACTAAATACTAAATACTAAATACTAAATACTACTAAATTACTAAATACTAAATACTAATACTAAATACTAATACTAATACTAAATACTAAATACTAAATACTAAATACTAAATACAGAATATATACCAAACACTAATAAAATACTAGAAAATACACACAATCAATCAACCAATCACACACACACACACACATACAACATTATTTCCCACCACAACTACATCGCTACATCACCACATCGCACCAAATGTATACCAAAAGGAAAGAGGGGCCTTAGTTAACAAAGAGGATCCATCATATCATACTCGAGAGTCGATACTACAGATATAGTACGGTATCTTCGAGACGACACGACCTACTATTTCTTGATATGCATGGTATTGGATACCTAGGAGCCTACCTAGGTAGAGGAGAATGTGATGGTGATGACGAATGAGATTTTAAGATTTTGAGGAGAGAGTGTGAGGAGAATTTAGTTTCTGTTTGTTTTGAGAAGATGTGTGGGTGGGTAGGAGGTAGGAGGTAGTAGGTAGTAGG